CAGTAGTAGTAGTAGTAGTAGTAGTAGTAGTAGTAGTAGTAGTAGTAGTAGTAGTAGTAGTAGTAGTAGTAGTAGTAGTAGTAGTAGTAGTACCATCATTATTATTATCATCATTTTCATATTTCCTTATTCTAGACCAGCGTGACTCACGTATTCCATTACAGATGTAGATTTCTTGGTGCGTTTATCACATTTCTCATTTACATGTTCCCGTTTTGTAATTTGACTAAAATGATTATACTATAACAAGGTTTATTCGAAAATAAATATTTTTGTCTGTCTGTCTGTCTGTCTGTCTGTCTGTCTGTCTGTCTGTCTGTCTGTCTGTCTGTCGGTCTGTGTGTCTGTCTGTCGGTCTGTCTGTCTGTCGGTCTGTCTGTCTGTCTGTCTGTCGGTCTGTCTGTCAGTCTGTCTGTCAGCCTTACTCTTCTTTTTTAAACAGGAACTAAATCCACCATTTAAGAGATGATGCTTTTGATGCAACAATCAAGATAACGGAAAAGTATGATGGACAATAAAAATGCTCAAAAAACGCACCAAATTGACACGATATAACATCGAACATTTATTAAAGTCATTGATCTGAATGCTCAAAAAAAATCCCTTAGTCTTTTTAAGAATAGCAGAGAATATCTGGCGACACCGAGTTCCATTTCCACAAAAACGTTGCGCCGTATCGCCTTTTCATCGCCTTGTTTAGTTTGTTGACACATAACACCATGTTGGGTTGAGAAACAGCTATCAATCAATACCGCAGCTGGTGACCGACAAGACATTTTACCCAGTACCATTCCCAGGACTTGGATAAAGAGATGTAGGGCATAGTAGATGAAAATTAGGGGGGTGTGGGATAAAGATTCGAATGAATGAAAAAAAACCTCTTTAATGTTATAGCTTTTCTGTTGATAGCCTAGTTTTTGAAAACTGACGTCCCTGATATAAAAATGTACCTTGTCGTGAATAATATATTGTACCGGTATGGTTAACCAGGATCCTTCCCAGGACTTTGATAAAGAAAATTAGGGCATAGTAGATGAACATTAGCAGATGAAAAAGATTTGAATGAGTGAAAAAAAAATCCTTCAAAGTCAATTTTTCTGCTGATAGCCTACAGGTTTTTTTTCTGACGTTCATGATATTAAAACGTCACTTGTAGTGAATAATAATTTATTCTACCGGTATCCATGCACTTGTTGTATTTCTTTTCCGCGCAAAAACTGCTGCAAAACGTGCGTACCATGGGAAACCGGTCTCGCTTGCTTTTATTATTACAGTTAAGTGCTCCACCAGTGCGCGTGACACCCCCTCCCCCCCTTGCCTTTCTTTCGGCTCACATTGTGCACGCATACTATAATGTACCGGAACAACGTTCAAGTGTACCGTTTCAGATATTAAAATAGTAGTGCCGTCGATAGTATATAAAGTGGGCTCTCATTGTTGAGGAGAAGGGTGGCCGTCTTAGACAGGTGGTCATCTTACACAACATAATGTTATTACAATGTTCAAAAAATAGATACGCAAGGGAGGAAAAGGGATGCTGCTGTTTGTACAACTGATTGTTTTATACAGATGGTCGTTCGAGTAAGTTCGGCTATATATGATGGAATAATTTTGAAACCGGAAAGATGTAGCCTGTTTTGTATTTGGGCGTGATTTGTTTTGGGGCAATAATCAAACGGAAATTGACCCGCTGCGCTTCCTGGTTCACTCAACTGCCGGTCGTTTTTCCTCTCGTAAGTTGCGTGCCCGAGTTATTACTGACCCATTCAGGATGAGCCGATACTCTCTCTCTCTTTCTCTCTCTCTCTCTCTCTCTCTCTCTCTCTCTCTCTCTCTCTCTCTCTCTCTCTCTCTCTCTCTCTCTCCCCCTCCCCCTCTCTCTCTCTCTCTCTCTCGCGCGCGCGCTCTCTCTCTCTCTCTTTTTCTCTTTCTCCTCTCTCTCTGCCTCTCTCTCTCTCCTTTCCCTCTCTCTTACATTCCGTTGGTGAGTTTGAGAGAGAGAGAGAGAGAGAGAGAGAAAGAGAGAGAGAGGGAAAAAGAGAAAGAGAGAGAGAGAGAGAGAGAGCAAGAGAGAGAGCGAGAGAGAGAGAGCGAGTTTGTGTGTGTGTGTGTGTGTGTGTGTGTGTGTGTGTGTGTGTGTGTGTGTGTGCGTGTGTGTCTATCTGTCTGTCTTTTCCTCTGTCTAAATGTCTAAGAAGTATTCCTTTTGGAGTATATATTTTGTTGTCCTCTGCCATAGGTGGACCCACTTTCCTCTTAACATTCTACCCAGACAATTAAAAGTGACATAATCAAAGCGGGGGCTCTTGTGGTCGAGAGGTTATAGTGTTTACCTCTCATTCAATAGGTCCCGGTTTCGAATCCGGAAAGCGACGGAAAATTTTCTTCTCTACAATGTTCTCCTTTCACCTCCTTTCTTACTCTCTAAAAATATTCTGTCGTCTGCTTTTCGTCTCCACTTCCTGATACCGCACCCCACCCCCAAGCCCCACCTTCTCCCCCCCCCCCCCCCTCATCCCCCCACCCCGGGTCCT